ACATGCCTTCCGAGGAAACTGCTTCTGGCTCCTATCATCATGGCAGCTGTGCTTCTGCCTGTATCGGTTGCTGGAGCTACATTATCAGCCACTGAGTGACTGATACCTCCTATGAGAATTGGTTGCCATGGTGCTGTAAGTATGAAAATAAGAATCTACCATGCGTCTCCAGGCTTAGGGCCCTTAACAAGCTCTGTACCTAAATGAAAATCAGGAAAGGTGAGATAGGACCTGGGAACCAACCAGAGGCTAGCTGTCAGGAAGTTGCTGAGTCACTGTGCCTCAAGACTTGCCCAAATCAAGAGTGTGCTCTGTATGAGGTGGAAGTTAACTTGTCTTGTGAAGGCACATGTACACAAAAAATTCAAATCCCGTTTTCTTCCATTTTAGAGATTCTTTGAGCAACTCCCTTCTCTGAGCAAAATTTTGTAGCACTTCTGGAAGGGTGGAGCTTCCTGCCCCTCATATTATCTTTGGAGGTGAAGAGTTCTAGGGCAACCTGCCTACTGGGTTTTTTATGTGGCTTTTCATGAAAACTGTTTATTTGAGCTTGATAGGAGGCAGAACATTGGGTCCTCACCAGAGCCTCTGAAGTAAACTATGTAAGGAATAGCACAGCACCTAGGTACAGAGCGAGCCCAGGTTTCGGATCCCTCTCTCCTTCCAGACAGCACTCAGAACAAGAATGCCAGGCCGCGTAGGACCAGAGCCGAACTTCAATCTTTCCTCACCTGCTGCCCTCCAGTCTTAATTTATTATGGTCTTTTTTCCTCTTAGGGAAGGAAGTTCCTCTCTCTGAGTACCTAGGTTCAATGGCCTGAGAACCTGCTTGGTTTTCTGGAGTATTTCTTGGCATTATAACCCCCATCCAATAAATAGCAAAAAGAAGTTTAATATCAGTACTTATGTACATGTGTTGTTTTGACAGCTTTTCCTCTGGTAGATTGAAATCTTTTTTCTTCTTCACTACTGGGGTTCGAACTCAGGGTAGATTAAAATCTTGGAAGAAAAGAACATACCCACCTGTGCTCAGCCAACCTGAAGACTAATGGGTCCCTCTGATCCTGGAGCCCTCTGATCCTGCAGCATTATATTTCCCAAAGCAGGTTAACATTCGTTTGCTCCTATGCCTCAAATTATTTCTGTAAATCATTTAAAAATACTACATCCAGCACACAATCAGAACCAGATAAATTTCCAGCTCCTGGCATGGCAAAACAGTTTGTGTCAGACCCTCCTGTTAACACTGAATTACAATGTAATCCACACAAAATACAAAAATAACTGTATGAAGGCACGGAGACCAACCAAAAGAGAAAAAAAAAAAAAAACTAGAGGAATTATAATCCTTGAAAAATAGAAGGTGCTATTAGGTGAGATCCACATTTAACAGGATTTTCCCCTAAAGAGACTTCACAGCTTGCTGCAGCACGTAGGAAATAGAGCTCAGTCAGGAAGCAGCAGACTTCCTGACTGAGAAGCAGAGTTGAGAGTACAGGGATTCCAGAGCAGCTGGAAATGAAGACGATATCTGGAAGATGAGTGACCTACAGAGACAGAAGCTAAAATCCATATCAAATTTCCCTCGAATCCTTAGCTGTCTTCTAAATGGCCCATGCCCAAGGTAAGAGTTCAATGGAAAGCCAGATATCTGAACAGGGGTTTCAGAAGAACCGCACCTTAGCTGTAAGCACAAAGTCTCAGAACTAAGGAATGGAGTCAAAGACTAAGAGGTGGAACTGAAAAAAAACCAAAATACTCCTACCTTAACCAGTCTTCTACAATAATTTTTTTGTCCAAAACTTAACTGCCTTCCCGAACAAACGCGACCCTTTTTAAAGAAAGATAATTCAGAGCATCCACAATGCATCAACCCAAAATGTCCAGTTGACAACAAAAACCATGTTTCCAACCTGGGGTTTAGAAAGCTCACACGCTATCCTCTAAAGGCACATAAGAAGCGAGAGATCAGTGAGCCAATCAACTATTGCAATAGCTCTATTTATTTATTTTTTTAAATTTTATTTTATTCATATGTGCATACAATGTTTGGGTCATTTCTCCCCCCTTCCCCCAGCCCCTCCCTTACCCCTCCCACCCCCTCTTCCCCCCCCACCCCCTCGCTACCTGGCAGAAGCCATTTTGCCCTTATCTCTAATTTTGTTGAAGAGAGAGTATAAGCAATAATAGGAAGGAACAAAGGTTTTTGCTAGTGAGATAAAGGAAACCAAATCAGGCTATAAGGGACGTTTACTCGAATTGATTTCCTGTGCATGTGTGTTACCTTCTAGGTTAATTCTTCTTGAACCAACCTTTTCTCTAGTTCCTGGTCCCTTTCTCCTGTTGGCCTCAATTGCTTTAAAGTATCTGCTTTAGTTTCTCTGCATTGAGGGCAACAAATGCTATCTAGTTTTTTAGATGTCTTACGTATCCTCATACCTCCCTTGTATGCTCTTGCTTTATCATGTGATCAAAGTCCAATCCCCTTGTGTTTGCCCTTGATCTAATGTCCACATATGTAGGAGCAAACATATGATTTTTGGTCTTTGGGCCAGGCTAACCTCATCTAGCATGAATGTTCTCCAGTTCCATCCATTTACCAGCGAATGATAACATTTCGTTCTTCATGGCTGCATAAAATTCCATTGTGTATAAATAACCACATTTTCTTAATAATTCCCATTCATCGGTAAGTGGGGCAAATCTTGGCTGTTTCCATAACTTGGTTATTGTGAATAGTGCTGCAATAAACATGGGTGTGCAGGTGCCTCTAGAGTAACCTGTGTCACAGTCCTTTTGGGTATATCCCCAAGAGTGGTACTTGCTGGATCATATGGTACATCAATGTTACTAGTTTACATTCCCACCAACAGTGTAAGAGGGTTCCTTTTTCCCCATCCTCGCCAACACCTGTTGTTGTGGTGTTGCTAATGATGGCTATTCTAACAGGGGTGAGGTGGAATCTTAGTGTGGTTTTAATTTGCATTTCCTTTATTGCTAGAGATGGTGAGCATTTTTTCATGTGTTTTTTGGCCACTTGAATTTCTTCTTTTGAGAAAGTTCTGTTTAGTTTACTTGCCCATTTCTTTATTGGTTCATTAGTTTTGGGAGAATTTAGTTTTTTAAGTTCCCTATACTGGTTATCAGTCCTTTGTCTGATGTGTAGCTGGCAAATATTTTCTCCCACTCTGTGGGTGGTCTCTTCAGTTTAGAGACCATTTCTTTTTTTTTTATTCATATGTGCATACAATGCTTGGGTCATTTCTCCCCCCTTCCCCCAGCCCCTCCCTTGCCACCCACCCTGCCCCCTCCCTCTACCCCCCACCCCCTGGATACCCAGCAGAAACTATTTTGCCCTTATCTCTAATTATCAAAGTCCAATCCCCTTGTTTTTGCCCTTGATCTAATTATCTGCAGTGAGGGAGAACATACGATTTTTTGGTTTTTTGGGCCAGGCTACTAGAGACCATTTCTTTTGTTGAGCAGAAGCTTTTTAAGTTTTATGAAAGTCCCATTGTATCTATTGCTATCTCTTGTTGCTGTGCTGCTGGGGTTCACTGAGAAAGGTCTCTTGCCATACCGTATTATTCCAGAGTATTTCCTAACTGTTCTGGTACCAATTTTAGAGTTTGTGGCTTAATATTAAGATCCTTGATTCCATTTTGAGTTTTAAATATTGGTATAGGGTTGAGTACACATGGGATCTAGTCTTCAGTTTTTGAGGACTGCTAACCAATTTTTCCAGCAGTTTTTTGTTGAAGAAGGCTGTCTTTTCTCCATCATACATTTTTTAGAGGCCTTTGCAAAGACAAGTTGGTTATAGTTGTGTGGCTTCATATCTGGGCCTCTATTCTGTTCCACTGGTCTTCATGTCTGTTTTTGTGCCAGCACCATGCTGTTTTTATTGCTATTGCTTTGTAATATAGTTTGAAGTCAGGTATTGTGATACCTCCAGCATTGTTCTTTTGACTAAATATTGCCTTGGCTGCAATAGGCTCTATTTAAAAGAGTACAGTGGTTTGGAGCAGGGTGATGGCAGTGGATATAGAAAAAATGGATGGCTTTGCAACATAATTTTTAGGTCAAACCCATATGATTGCAAAAAGCCTTTAGGTGGATGGTGATAAAATGAGGACAGTAAAATCAAACTAAATTCATTGAATTTAGAATAGAACAGAATACCTACTGTTCAATCACAATCCATATGTAAATCTCACAACGAACTCATGAGGTACAATTCCCACCCACATCTTACACACCCTGGGAGGAGAGGCAGTGGACCTTGAGACCTGGCTATGTCAAAAAGAAGCAGGGCCAAGAATTCCAAAAGGTGCGAGGAGGGGACGGTCAGGGGACTGGAATAGGGTAGACTGCAGAGGCAGCGCCCGCTCGCGATTGGGCCGAGATGCCGAGTTCTTTTGACTAAATATTGCCTTGGCTGCAATAGGCTCTATTTAAAAGAGTACAGTGGTTTGGAGCAGGGTGATGGCAGTGGATATAGAAAAAATGGATGGCTTTGCAACATAATTTTTAGGTCAAACCCATATGATTGCAAAAAGCCTTTAGGTGGATGGTGATAAAATGAGGACAGTAAAATCAAACTAAATTCATTGAATTTAGAATAGACCAAGAAAAGGAATACCTACTGTTCAATCACAATCCATATGTAAATCTCACAACGAACTCATGAGGTACAATTCCCACCCACATCTTACACACCCTGGGAGGAGAGGCAGTGGACCTTGAGACCTGGCTATGTCAAAAAGAAGCAGGGCCAAGAATTCCAAAAGGTGCGAGGAGGGGACGGTCAGGGGACTGGAATAGGGTAGACTGCAGAGGCAGCGCCCGCTCGCGATTGGCCGAGATGCCGAGGACGGCTGTGCAGATCCCGCGTCGCTAGCCGGTGGGATGCAACAGCCCGGCACAGCCTCTTTGGCCGCTGTCGCTACTTTCACTGCGACTTAGACGGGAGAGCGAAGGCGCCTATCGATCCCGGGAGGATGCCGCGCCCGCTGTGGCCTGTGGGCTCCGGAGGGCTCCGTCTGCTTGTCTGCTTCTTGCTGCTGAACAGCCATCCAGGGGGCTGCAGCGACATTAGTGCCCACGGTCAGGAGGAAACCTGGGGTGGGGGGTGCGGGCAGGGCCAGAGAGCAACTCTGAAAAGCGAGGGGCAGGGGCCTCAAGGTTAGGAAACTCGGGAGGAAAACAATGCGTTTGGGGGGCACGAGGAGGCGTCTCGTGGAAAGTGACATGGGATTGGTGGGGGTGGGCTAGGGTATATGGTCGAGACTTCAGGTGAGCGAGCGCGGGGGAAGATAGGGGGTGGGGTGGTTGGGAAGACAGATGGGCAGAGTACAAACCAGAGACGAGATGACCAGGGCTAGGGATAGGAAGGGACCAGAATCACAAGTCTTCGGGTCCAAGGGTCCTGGCCCCAAGCGGGGCCGAGAGCCGAACCAAAACTAAATCTTACAGCCACAGAGCCTGGTGGCTGAGATCCAATTTCCAATAAAGAGGGGAAGTCTGAACTAGGGTAAAAGAGGATGGGATACAGAGGGAAAGGAACCGTCTCTCTCTCTCTCTCTCTCTCTCTCACTGTCTCTCTCTTTCTCTCTCTGTCTCTGTCTCTGTCTCTCTCTGTCTCTCTGTCTCTCTCTCTCCTCTCTGTCTCTCCCCCCCCCGGGTCATCTGGGTAGGCCCAGCGCTGACTCACTTAATACTCGGAGACTGCGCAGACTCACGATCGCTGCGCACACCGGGTGGGGACCCGAGCTCCGCCAGCGCCTACTCTGACGCCCACTGTCCCCTCCCGACTCTAGGGTTTAGAGACCATTGCAGAGGATTCGCAAGGCACTGTGGGAGGAGACCGGTGGGAGTGCGCGGAATGTGGTGGGGTGGGACCGCCAAGGCTTGCGGAGGTGCCTTTTGCCGCCTTTACCGCCCACAGCCGCGGCCACGCCCGGCTTCGGAAGCCACCGCTCAGCACCATGGACAGCGTCGGTCCAGCGAGGCCGCGTCACGGCTCTGCGAGAGGCGCTCAGAACTGTCTGACCTTCCCCAAGCTCTGTTCCTTCTCAGTAGGGTGCTGGAGTTTAACTCCTTCTGAGGCCAGGGAATTGGTGTTAAACATCCACTTGACTGGGGAGAAGAATTCCCCTTTCTTAAAACGTGTCCAGGGGCTGTAGCCTTAGAGCTCTTGCCCAGCAAGCGCAAAGCTCGGAGTTCAAACCCTAGTGTGGGCGTGCGGGGCGGGGCGGGGGAGGAGACAAACAAAAAACACCTGCCCGGCTTGCCTGTGCCTGTAATCCCAGCACTCAGGAGGTGGAAGCAGGAAAATCGCAAGTTTGAGGCCAGACAGGGCCAGACCCTGTCTCAAGGGAAAAAAATGTCCAGAATGACTCATGGTAATATTACTTAAAGAAAGGGAGGAAGAGAGAGAAAGAACTCTCCATCAGCCCTACCCCGTATATCTGAAAGAATTAAGGTATGCTTAGCATTAAGAACTGCCTTCTCTCACACCTCCCCTTCCCCTATGCGCAGCTGGGCAAACTGTGACTTTCAGGAAAAGGATTCAGATCCTCGAGCCTAATAGGTACCAATAGTCAGCCCTGTATCTCCACAGGTTCTGCAGGAGCGAGGTCTGTATCTTCAAATTCAACCAACTGAATCTAAACTATTTGGGGAAAAATGTGTCTGTACTGAACATGTAAAGACTTTTTTCTTGTCATGATTCCCTAAACAATACAGTAAAGCAACTATTTAAATTGTATTCGACATTATAAGTAATTGAGAGATGATTTAAAGTATACAGGAGGACGTTTGCACATGATACACAAATACTAAGCCATTTAATATAAGAGCCTTGAACGTCCACAGATTTTGGAATGGGGGGTGGTCTTGGACCCAGTCCTCTGAAAATACTGAGGGAGATGGTACTTTCTCTTTCTAAGGATTCCGGGTCTCCTTCCTAATCCCTCCTGACTTCAAAGTCTTCCCTAAGATATAGCCCACCTTCTTCCCCGTGCCAGCCTGTCCATCTGATTATCCATCCCACATGGGTATCATTCTGAGCCTTTGCACGCCTGAACCTCCGTGGCCTGTGTTCTGTCTGTAAACTTGGCTCTTACCTGGAAGTTGGTAGTGAGGATGAATGAGGCCCAGGGACTCAAGAACAGGGCTGGTGATGGTGGAGGAAGGAAAAAATGACAAAAGGAGGACTTGAACACAGGGAAAGGGCCTGGCTCAGGAATAACAGTGGAGGGCACCTAGCAGCTTCTCTTCAATTGAGATTTGGAAGGCTCTGGCCAAGGTCTTCGCTGATACCCTCTTTTGCCCTTAGATGGCCAGGGCCAAGTTGGAGTTCAGCAGCTCTGGCCCCTCCAGGGATTTACTGCTCCAATCTTCCGGCACTTACAACTTGTACTCCATCAGATTGTACCCCAAGGTGAGTAGAAGCTGGAGAACAGACATTGGTGTCTGGCTAGATATAAGGGAGGGCAGTGAGAGACTATCTAAACTGAGGATAAGTTTTCTCTTCCCCAGATGTCTCTGAAACTTCCTTGCCATGTTCCCCTCAGTGGAGAAGGGGACAAGACAAGAGTGGAGGTGGAGTCTAGATGAATGGACTGTTTGCACTTAAACACCAAGGAGGCCAGCATACAATTCCTTGGGACTGGTTCCCAACCCCCAACACTATCTGAGTTTTTCCGGAGCCAGGACTCCTTATGTGCTCAGCCAGAAGAATACACACATGCCTCAACCTCTACATAGGAAGCAGGGAAAACTGTATATCAAACAGGAAAAGGAAGTCAGTCCACTGGAGGCAGATAGCTCCTTAGAGCAAACTTTTGTGAATGGGGGAGGTAAGATAGAAAATCTGCCTTGAGTTTATATTACTACTATTAATGCCTAATAAGTGTAAAATGGCATAGAAAAGTAGTTCTCAAAGCGCATCCTAGACTAACAACACCAACATCAACAGCAACTTGTCAGAAATATTCGTTCTTGGTCTTCACCCAGACCTACTGAGTCAGAAATTCTAAATATGAGCCTATAATCTTAGCACTTGGGAGGCTGAGGCAGAAGGATCATGAATTTGAGGTTGGCTTGGGCTACACAACAAGTTTGAGGTCAACCTGAGCTACATAGCGAGACCCTGTCTCAAAAAGTAAAAAGAAAAAAAGGAAAGAACCTCTGGGTGTAGGAACTAGTGATTTCATTTTAACAAGCCTTGCAAGATACACGGATGTACACTGAAGCTTGAAAATCGCTGTCTCAGAATTTTTAAGCACTCTTTGCATCCCTAACCTCATTTAATTCTCACCTTTGCATCAAATGAATAATGAGAGTCATTAAATATGACACACCAACCACTGTGCTAAGCAATGTTCATATGTTTACCATCTCATTTCACTCTCTCCACACTCTATGTGTAAACAGGTCACATTGGTCCCTGGAGCAGGTCAAAGTGTCCCAGGTGTCAACTTACCCATCCTTCCATCCTGCAGGTCTGTTCTGGAAGGATGACATCACCCAGCATATGATGACTGAGAAGATGGAGTACATCAGCAGACTCCACCCCCAAGATCCATGCCTGAAGGATGGGAAGGCAATTTTCCCCACTGAAACCACTGGAATGAGGTGTGTGAGGCCTGTGATTAGCCCATGATATCTGGCAGACAGAAAGACAGAACATGGCAGGACTGGATAGTGAAACTGCAAGTAGGAGCCCCCAGGAGCTCTCTGCTTCAAAAGTCCTTCCTGGGATCAGTAAGGAACAATTCCTAGCTATACTAGTTATATCTGAAAAGGGAGGGGAAAGGTAGGTGTTAGCAAGTCTAGGCTCCACTTGTCATTCCTTTCTCTTCTAGGGATAAGCAAGAGGAGAAACTTCAACTCTTATTCCCCAAGGTGAGACTTACATGTCTTCCCAAGAATTATGAATCCCTGACTTTGTATCCCATAGCTTTCCCTCTGGGGCCTCTCAACCTTTCTTGCCTCCTTCCTGATTCCTGAATTCCCTCCTCACAGACCCCAACAGTCAAGATGAACAGGGATCAGTGCTTTATCTCCAGAGTAGTTTCCAAGACCTTGAAACAAGAGGTGACCAAACCTGTCAAGGTGAGAAACTCACTTTTTTCCAGGGATGTTGGAATCCCCGAGGACATGTTTAAATGAGGGAGGCAGGTATGAATGAAAGAAGGAATTCTGGGGGGAGAAAAAGCTCACTTTTCTCAGTCAAAGGGTAGCCCTGCTTCCTGTAACTCTCACAGATGATGTATAGATATCCATATGAGAGGAAAGGGGCAGGGCGTGAGGCAAGTGCTGGGAACCTCTAATGAAGAAATGAACTACAAGATCAGGCATCAGCTTTGAGCTTAAAACAGGAATTGAAAACTGCAGAGTTCTCAAAATTAAATAATTTCATACTCCCTTGTGCATGGCAACTGCTAGGAAAGCTCCCTTGGATGAATGGGAGAACAGCCCAGAAGCCTCACTCTAGCCTCTGTCTTGCTTTCTTCTGTGACCTGAGCAGGTCACCTGAACAAGGCTTGGAGGCTTCTCTGGAATCTTTAAACTCTAGAATCCAGATTAGAAACCACCCACCTAATACTCCCATCTATCTTTATAGGTGAGAAATTCGGGCCCAGGATAGTCATGGGATTTATACAAGGCTGCCATACTTTTCATGGCAAAGACAAGACAAGATGCAGGTCTTCTGATTTCCAGCTCTTCCGCCTGCAAAAGAATCCCAGCTGGACATTGGTGGTGGCTCACACCTTAATCTTAGCCACTTACGAGGCTGAGATTTGGAGGATCGTGGTTTGAGGCCAGCCAGGGAAAATAGTTCCCAAGACTCCATATCCAAAATAACCAGGACTAATTGGGCTGGAGGTGTAGCTGAAGCAGTAGAGTGCCTGCTTTGCAAGCATAAAACCCTGAGTTCAAATCCCAGTCCCTACTAGAGGAACAGACAGAAAAGCCAGGAACAGAAGATGAGGTTGGAAAAGTAGGCCCAGGACTTACCATGCAGTAGAAGGTTTGGATTTTATCCTAAGTGCAGTGAGAAGTTACCTGGGATATTTTAAAGAAGGGAATGTCATAACATCATGTACAATTTTAAAAGGCCACCAAAGCAATGTTGATGACTAGATAGTGGGAAAATCCAGACTGAAAACTGAGAGGCTACAAAGACCCAGCCATCCTGGTCCAGGGAGTGGAGTTGGCTTGGACTTGGGTAGAGGCAGTGAAGTTGAGCCCTCTACCACCACTGGCCATGCCCTCTATCTAGAGGCAGCTTGTACCTCAGGGGGTTCCATCCCGTCATGCTTCTCAGGAAAACAGGCTCCTGTTCCCATAACATGGCAGCTGGGCTTTTTAAACCTGAATTGGTTGCTGGGCAACATAATCAGAGCTAAGTGACAGTCCTACCTGTGGAGGACTGGTTGCCTTGGTGCATGGTGCTTCCAGGGGGTGGGCGAGGGGTATGTGCGGAGAATCCAAACAAGTTGCTGCTATTCTTCTTCAACCCCCAGCCTTCAGAAAAATCACAGTGGGAGGAGGAACTATGTGTGGGAGTCCAGGATCTGGCTATCAATCGGTGGGCTGAGTCACTGCGTGAAAAACTTAGGCAAATCGGGCAGTTAGTGAACTGTTTGGGGAAGGAGCACAAGTCAAGAAGGGCTACCTCTCTATGTTCTGACTCCAAAACCCTTGTTTCTTCTCTTTTAGGGTTTCTTTGGGCCATTCCCCACTGTGGGCCGCAATCTTGTCGCTGATTGAGACCACATGTGGGGTCTTCCTTCCCCAGTGCCATCCCCATTGCCTTCCCAAGGGGCAATTCTTGGATGACCCAAATCTGGATCATTAAAGTGGACTTTCATGCAAACACTTTCTGTGAGCTTGTTTTGAGGCACAGTAGGTAGGGTTTGCACTTGACCAGAGGCTCTGAAGAAAAAGAGGTGGGGATGAGGAATGCACACCTCTGAGTGCTGGTAGAAGGCTGTTTCTGTCTTATTTTCCTTCCATTGGCCATTCCTGAAGTGCAGAAAGTGATGCAGACCACAGCTGGAATGGCAGCCTTTTCCACCCACACCCCAACATGCTGTGTGATCTGGTTATCCAACCTTTCATATTATAGAAAGGGTACACCATATTTGCCTCCAGTCATTCTTTCCATTTCCCAATCCAGACAGTCCTGGACTCTGCTGTTTTACGAGGGTCTCCACCTTTAGCATTAGAGCCCCAACCAGGGCTGTCCCAACATCATCGTGCTGGGATCAAATAATATTAAAATTTTGATGGCTCCTGCTTGTGCATTTCTAATAGCTTAAAATCTTAAAACAATGGGAAACCTGACCACCCATTCTTAGTCCAAGTAAAACCCAGAATTTTCTGTTTGCAGAGCTTTATTCTCCTCACTCATGGGATACAGGGGTAAGCAAATGGGCAGGTATCAAGGTTGGGTTGCTCTGAGGAACCAAGATAGGGCCACACCATATCTTGCAACTGAGAATCCCAGAGAATTGTGACTAATGACTACTTCTTGGTAACACAGGTTCTCAGCCATGCCACTGTGCTTTGCCTTTCTCCTCTACCATCTATGTTCAAATACAGAGCTAAACTCAATAGACCAGCCATATGTGTTTTGTTTGTTTTTCTCAGCAAGTCAATTAACCACTGCCACTCATCCATATTTATTTTTTAAACCTTTCTTCCTCATTCATTCTCAAACATTTATGTAACCCTATGGTTTATAGTGCATGGCCTTTGTGAATGTTTGTTCTTGCCTTCAGAGACCTTTAAGAGTAATCAGGGAAGTAAGCCATACATATCATAGTTTCATTCAGATATCTGCAGGGAGCGAATACAGTGGATGCTCTGCCCCATAGCTACTCCTTCTACCCACAGCTGCAGATATAGTTCCTGTACTTTTTAACACTTTTCCCACTCAAGCCTCCTGTGCTCCAGACAGTCCTGAAGTACCTAGGATTTAATGTCCCAGAGAAAACTCCCAACCAGTGAAGGACTGAACGTAGTACAAAAATATCCCAGACTCCTCTAACTCTCAGTGGACAATTCCAAGGAATATTCAGTATAATTCTTCAGAGTGACCCCAGGGATACTCAGTCCAGTGGGCCACAATGGTAACCTGTTTGACAACGCACTTAATATAATTAATATAAAATATAAAATAATATTAATTTCATTAATATTATTGACTTTTCCAGTCTCTCACTTGTGATTTCTGGGCTCATCCCACATGCAAACTATCTAAACCCAACTTCTTTTTTTTTTTCTTTTATTATTCATATGTGCATACAAGGCTTGGGTCATTTCTCCCCCCTGCCCCCACCCCCTCCCTTACCACCCACTCCACCCCCTCCCTCTCCCCCCCACCCCCTCAATACCCAGCAGAAACTATTTTGCCCTTATCTCTAATTTTGTTGAAGAGAGAGTATAAGCAATAATAGGAAGGAACAAGGGTTTTTGCTGGTTGAGTTAAGGATAGCTATACAGGGAGTTGACTCACATTGATTTCCTGTGGGTGTGTGTTACCTTCTAGGTTAATTCTTTTTGATCTAACCTTTTCTCTAGTTCCTGGTCCCCTTTTCCTATTGGCCTCAGTTGCTTTTAAGGTATCCGCTTTATTTCTCTGCGTTAAGGGCAACAAATGCTAGCTAATTTTTTAGGTGTCTTACCTATCCTCACCCCTCCCTTGTTAAACCCAACTTCTTATCTTCTTTTGGGTCAACCCAAACTAAGCCTACTATGTGCTATATACTCTTCTAGACCCTGGGGATACGCTTTTGAAGAAGACAGTGTTCACTGCCATGGGGTTTGGTTATAAGGTTTTTTTTTCTAAACATCTGTTAATAGGGAAATGTCCAAGAAATTCATCTGGCCCACAGAGCAACCAAGTTCTTGTCTGTGCTACAGTGTTTTTCACTCATTCTGCCATCTTTCACCCAGAAATTTGCAGTCCTAATTGTGTTTCCCAGAATGTGCCCAGCTGGCATATGCTCCTGGGATCTTGTATGCAATTCTTTCTACATATAAGTGCCCTATACCCATCTTGTTAATCTTATCCTAAAAATCTGAATTCTCTGTGGTTCATTCCCTGGTCCTCCTAACTCTTCCACCCCTAAAGCAAGTGGCAGAGGATGGAAACATGAAGCCTATATGGGAAGTTAAAGAGTCTGGTAATTCTGGGATAGAGTGAGTAGGTAAAAAAGATGGGAGCTTTTAAAAAATGGGAACTTCACCATTCCCAGCAATAAAGGAAATGCAAATTAAAACCACACTAAGATTCCACCTCACCCCTGTTAGAATAGCCATCATCAGCAACACCACCAACAACAGGTGTTGACGAGGATTTGGGGAAAAAGGAACCCTCTTACACTGTTGGTGGGAATGTAGACTAGTACAACCACTCTGGAAAAAAATTTGGAGGCTTCTTAAAAATCTAAACATAGATCTACCTTATGATCCAGCAATACCACTCTTGGGGATATACCCAAAAGACTGTGACACAGGTTACTCCAGAGGCACCTGCACACCCATGTTTATTGCGGCACTATTCACAATAGCCAAGTTATGGAAACAGCCAAGATGCCCCACCACTGACGAATGGATCAAGAAAATGTGGTATCTATACACAATGGAATTTTATGCAGCCATGAAGAAGACCGAAATGTTATCATTCGCTGGTAAATGGATGGAACTGGAGAACATCATTCTGAGTGAGGTTAGCCTGGCCCAAAAGACCAAAAATCGTATGTTCTCCCTCATATGTGGACATTAGATCAAGGGCAAACACAAGGGGATTGGACTATGAGCACATGATAAAAGCGAAAGCACACAAGGGAGGTATGAGGACAGGTAAGACACCCAAAAAATTAGATAGCATTTGTTGCCCTTAACGCAGAGAAACTAATGCAGATACTTTCAAGTGACTAAGGCCAACAGGAGAAAGGGACCAGGAGCTAGAGAAAAGGTTAATTCGAGAAAAATTAACTTAGAAGGAAACACACATGTACGGGAAAGCAATGCGAGTAAACTCCCTGTATAGCTATCTTTATCTCAACTAGCAAAAACCTTTGGTCCTTCCTATTACTGCTTATACTCTCTCTTCAACAAAATTAGAGATAAGGGCAAAATACTCTCTGCCTGGTAGCGAGGGGTTGGGGGGGTAAGGGAGGGGCCGGGGGGAGGGGGGGAGAAATGATCCAAACATTGTATGCACATATGAATAAAATAAAAAATGGGAGCTTTTAAAAAGGTTTTGTTTTTATCACAGAGGACCAGGCTATATGATTTGAGTCATAACTGATTGACAGTGAGGAGCCACTAAAGGGTTTTGAACAAGGAAAAGCAGAGAAAGTTGTGCTTAGTTTGGTCTCACATTTCTGCACAGGATGGGCTAGGAATCAGGAAAAGGGTGGAAACTGTTTAGAAATGACAGAGTGTGCCACACAGGACCTGAGTGAGAAAGAAAGGGGACACTAATAAGAGATGTTTTGAAAGATGAGTTCAGACCCTTGGCAACTGTTATGGGTTGAATTCTGTCTCCCCAAAATTCATATGTTGAAATCCTAATCTCCAATACCTCAGAATTCGGCCTTATTTGAAATGGAGTTGTTACAGACATTATTAGTTAATATGAGGGTGGACCTTAATCCAAAGTGGCTGGTGTCCTTATGAAACAGAGAAATCTGAAGATAGACAGATGTAGATGGAATATGATAGGAAGACTTATTAATTTGCCAACAGCAGAGGACAATATTGAGCTCCTAATATGACATACCAGTAAACTGGTAACACATTGTCACTCTGAATTACTTTCACCATGGAAGGGGGCAGTGATTTATATTCAGGATATGAATTTGCCCTCCCTTCTATAATGATTAGGCAATTTTGGCACTTCATTAGTGAATTACAGAATGCTTTCTTCATCTTCAAGGATAAAGAAGCAAGGAGTGAGAGTCAGAGAGGCCCCTGTCATTATTATACTCAAAATCTCTAATGGAATTCTTGCTTCTGCATGTTGACTAACGAATTTTCAGGGTCCTATGGGCTAAGGAAGGACTGCTTTCACCGCAGTCATACTAATGTTGAATTAGAAGCTGAGGCTAGGTAGTAGTTCAGTGGTAGAACATTTGCCTAGCATGTGCAAGACCCTGGGTTCCATCCCCAGTACCACTGAAAAGGAAGGAAAAAAGAAAGGAATGGAGGGAAGGAGGGGAGAAGGAAGGAAGGAAGGAAGGAAGGAAGGAATTGGAAAGTCACACTACTGCTCAGTTGGGTTTCCTCATGCCACTGAACCCACAGGCAGGTAGGTGTTACTATACTAATCACAGTAATTATCTCCAATTATCAGGTTGGGAAGTCGAGTTGCTGCTATAAAATGAAGGCAAAGAAGATTGTTACTGAAAGCAAAGGATTCACTTGAGCCCTTTCTATTTTCTTTCCCAGTATTATTGGGTCAATAGAGATCTTTAGAAGCCAAATAAAGCAAGGAACATGAAAGACTCAGATCTTTCAGAAATAAGGATTTAACTCAATCCACCAGTTAAAAAGGCCCATCTAGTCAAAGTGCTGACCAAGGTAAGAAGACCATGAAACGGGTAGAGGGATAAGGAAGTTGTGATGATCAATTTAAGTCTCAGGACAAGAAACAGAAGCAGGGATTGGGAGCACTCTGTTTACAGTAACTGGATATGCAAGTCTTTTTTTCTCTCATTTCTCTTTCCTGCTACTGTATATTGAGAGTACTGGTGTTGGATGATGTTTTAGATTTCAGATGAGAATATGTCTGAATTCAAGGATGTGTGTGTCACTTATGATAAGGTACAAGTGAGAATTAAGCT